ACATTAGGAACTACGAATGGCAAGGTAGGTAGATCGAGGATCAAGTAGATTGTCTTTTCAACAAATGGTTTTGATAGTAAGTGGAAATGAAAGAGTTTTGGTTTGATCCCTATATGTCATCTTTGGTAGATGTTTAAATATTTTCATCCATGCTTCAAAGATATAATTAAGATTGGGTTAACTCATAAAAATAAAAAAATACATTCTGTTTTGTAATTTAATTTAGTTATTATTGCTGCTGGAAAACCATATTAGATCTGAGATCAATCCACATAAGTTGGATATTTAGGCGAAAATGGTTGTTTTCCATATACAAATACTAGGAAAGAAAAAGTAGAGAGAATTTATTAGTTGATAATATTTTTTTATTATAAATTACACCGGTATTCAATCACCAAACGGAAGTTGATTAATTCGGATTGCAAGATAAAAACAAAAAATAAAAATAAAACTCTTTTATCAATTTTTTTAACACAATTATATATTTAGGATTTAAACTCAAGATCACTGATTAATTTAAAATGAATACTCTCAATTAATATACATTAATAATGTATTTATAATTACGTCATCTTCGAATTTGTTTATTTTGATAATCCAGTCTTCAAAATTGGCCTCTATTGTAAATTATTTTTCTTCTTTTAACAATTGATATTATCTATTTTTTTTTTTTTTGTATAACTGATATTATCTATTTCTAGTTAGTTGGAGTTTTGAAGTCATGGTCTTATTAGGTCCAACTTACTCTTCTGAGAGAGTTTTGAGTTTAAAAGTTTTTTATATTAATACTTTATATGAACAATGCAACAAAGTTAAAAAAATATATATGACAAAATTAAGTTAGAATTTATCACGATTCAAAATTGTTAAATGAGTACTAAAAGTGGTAGTGATTATGTATTTGTATAGAAGTCAATATTAGTAATAACATATTTTGACAAAAAAAAAAATTGACAGAAAAATTCTGACGGCCTATTATTTAATTATCAAATTTATAGATCGTTATTAAGTGTTCATAGGACTCTATTGGAATTTTTTTATTGAAGTTAGGTAGTGTATAAAGGAACTTTACTTCTTCTTTTTTTTAAATCAAAGGCAACTCATTTAATTTATATTGTGACTAAGAGATATGTAAAAATATTCAGTGCAGTATGATCTTAAATAATCAATATATTGAATTTAAAATATGATCGTGTGTTTAATTCACAATTTAGATATTCATCGACCATTAAACTGATACATTAATTTATTATTGGGATGCTTTTGAAATAAAGCAGAGGTTGAATTTTATATTTGGGATTCCAACTAAACTATAGTGAATAATAGGAAATATTTTCTTCAAGCTAGCTGTTCCTATATTTTGGCTCGTAAGCCTCCTTCATCTTTGAATTTTGAGTGAAGGGGGTACCTCTAAAGTCTAAACCCAAGTATATAATATTTCAGTGTATGCTATATTATTGTTAGAATTTTCATTAGACTAATTCATCATCGGACACAACTTTTTCAGACATAACGTAATTAATGGGATATGCTAAATTCTCAATTGAGATGTCACTATCCTTTCAATTAATTCAAGTTTAAATTCTCAGTCTCTTTTTAACACTACAACTGTCTCTCCATTGGCACCAAAGCTAGATTTATAATAATATAGTGATTATAACTTAGACATTTATGATTGGCAATATGAATACCTCCACAATTATGAGCCATGAGTCAATTGATTATCTATCTTTTTTATTTTATTTTTGAATTTTAAGATTCAAATTATAATCACAAATACAACTGAATCAATTAATAATAAACAAAAATGAAACATTTCTTATTGATATAGCATAGAGGACCAAATTTGGGGGCTTGAAGATGCTTTTGTCACTTTGGTGCATGGGAACAGGGAATCTATTAGCATTCTCTTAGCTCCTGAAAGTAAAAACTTTCTAGGATGCCCCAAAAGTGGAAAAGAAAAGAAAAAGGAAGGAAAAAGAAAGAAAGAGAAGGTTTATAACATATATTGGTCCTTATTGCAAAATCTTCTAGCTTAGAAGGTACTAAGTGAATGGTATAATGCAAAAAATAAGCAGGGCCGATTTGTCTTATCGACAAATGAATTTGAATTGCAAGCAATTAGGAATTAGGATTACATGATCATTTTTTAGGTGTCTCTTTATTTTATTGAAAAATTAATGTTACTTGTGCACTATATATATATATATATATATATATATATATATATATATATATATATATATATATACGAGGTAGGACCTTTTGACACTGGTGTCAAATTTAAAATTTGATACCTCATCTGATAGCCGTTAGATAAAAAAAGATCAACGACTCTGATTTGTAAACATGTGACACCATTGATCTTTTTTTATCTAACGGCTATCAGATGAGGTGTCAAATTAACCGGTGTCAAAAGATCCTACCTATATGTGTGTATGTATACTTTTCTTAGCTGGCCCTTAAATTTATAATTTGTCCTATACTTGCACACCCAGTAGAGCATTACTCTTGTTTGAGTGAAGTGTCACATGGGAAGAGGAGAGGAACAAGGCCTTATTATTTTGCATTATGCAACAAAAGATAATTGTTTCCAAGGTTTCTATACACATTATTTTCTCATTACGTGCACCATAAGATTTAGAGTACATGGTCTGCTTCCTATAGCTGAAATAAAGTATAAAACCAATTTAGTTACAAAGTGGCAAGGCAGCTATAGGGTTAAACTAATTTAATATCTGTTTTATATTCCACTAATGTTGATGCACCATTACCATGTGAAGAATTTGTAAACTTTCAGCATTAAATTTGGAAGATTGTAATCGTATAAATTTAAAATAAAAGTTTAGATGTAATATATATTATGGGTAATATGTCTCTCCAATTGTTGGAGAGACATATCATCTGCGGTAGATTCATTGAAAATTGCACCATCTATTTTTTGTTTAAATTATGTGGATCCCACATATTATTTGTCTCTGCAATAGAAAGTAACTTATCTCGTACTACACGAAAATAATATTGCCCATATATTATCAATAAATAAGAAAATGTTATAGTAATATAGTAACTAAGGCTAAAATTGAAATCTGTATACTATTGGCCAAATTTTGGTTATTTTGAGAACGAGAATGCTTACAAATTGCTGGAAATTACCGAAAGAAATATGATAAAAAACTTGTTTAATGCTATCAAAACTTTTTGGTAAAGGAGAAAAAAAAGCAAAGGTAGTAAGAGTGGAGGTCCCAAACATCTAAATGCTTATAATCAATCGAATATTCTATAACTCAAGATCATCCAGTGGCCACATGCAAAGGCACTTGCCAACACCACTCAAAAGGGTAACTTTAAAAATATGTGCGTGGGCAATCTCATTAAGAATGGTGTTATCGTGACTCGTGAGTTTATAAGAATATAATTTGGTGACAGAAAATATGTCAATATAATTTGTATTTAAAATTGAGAAATAATGAATTTAATTATAAATGCACACGAAAAAATGCATATATATTTTTTTATAAAAAAATGGTTACATCTAGATTAGTATAATCATTGATGAAATTGTTCAAACTCATCATAAGTTCACAACTTTCAATTCTTTAACATATGGTGCAAAAACTTTCACACGTTACTTGATGAGCAATTCGCTATTGAAATCATTTGGATTAAGGTGAACATTATTAACCTGTGAAATTATGATGCTTAATGTACCCCCAAAAATAAATATAATAAAAAAAATATGATGCCTAGTGCTAATATCACGAGCGATGCTTTGGTAGCTTTGGGACTTTCCCGAACATCTTTTAGAACTTTGTCAAGCAAATGTAATTACATTTCAAAGGTAAAGTACGTTTTCAGCACCAGTAAGTCAAATCTTGTTGACAAAACACCGCGTGAAGTTTAGGAGACCAAAAGCACCGAACTCTTGTTTTTTCTTTTCCTTTTTACTCATTTTTTTTTATATATTTTCTTTTAAGTCCTAAAATTTCTTCGTTTTTAGTAAAAAGAAACACTGAATTCGATAATCTCAGTACACTAATTTTTTTCTCCAAGTTTAGAGTATTGTATTTTGAATTTCAAGCAAGTTCATTAAATAACACAAAAACACGTTCAAAGTACTACAGTAGCAGCTTATAAGCTTCGGATTAAATTTTATAATCATAAACTTAAAAGGAATTAAATTATAAAAATAGTCCATAGTTATAATAATTATTATTATTATTTTATTTCCTAGAGATATCCCTACGCATTTGAATGACACTAATTCCTATCATTACGTAAAATGCAAAAGTTTTTGCCACTACCCCAAATTGTTTCGCATAAGAATCATACCAGAAACCTTTCAACCCCATTAATCCACTCTTTGATCAAATTTGTCATCCTTTGGGATTTAATTTTACGCCAATAGAACACATACTCTCACAACTCGTACAAGGCCTCATAATTTTAGAGGGGCAGGAAGATGACAGGAATTTTTCGGTTATTTGGGCCAATTTGTGGGGCATTGTGAGGATTAATCAAATGATGTTCCCACATGCTTAAAGGAAGTAATATGGATATGCAATATTGGCCTTGAACTCCAGCCTCTAGTCCCTACAAGCTTCAATAAGCTGAAGACAATTGCAAAGAGCAACTTGCTTCGTTGAAGAGCTGGTTATGATTTTTTTTTTTTATCCTTGGCCTTCTTAGCGTTACGGAATTTTAATAATGAAGTGACACTATGATAGAAGTTATAACTTTGTTACCATTAAGAAATGAGAAATGATCCGTTTACAATTTTTTTTTATAAATTACACTAAATATGACCCGTCACACTCTTAATTAAAATATGATCGATCATACTTAGTATAATTTGTAAACAAAAAATTTGTATATATAACCTTCCCATTGAGAAATTAATTAAATATGGATATACTAATACAAAAATGATACGCACCTCTCTCAATGTTAACAATCAATTATTCATTTATTAAGGCATATATATATATATATATCCAAAGGTGATGCTGATCAATATACACAATAGTGGGTTTGCTTGAGGTTCACGTTAAGCCATACATTCAATACGTTGGGCATTCTATTGTTAGATACATGATATGGGGGAAAATTATCGATACACACAACCCCCATAGTTAAGTTATCCTAAACAAGATGGCTCCTAGCTCTAGTTTAAACTAATAAATAATTAATTTATAAGCTACAAAATACTTTTTTAAGAAAAATAAAATAAATCAAAGTAATGCATACATGTTGAGTTATCCAGTGCGCCAAAAAACTGGGAAAAGGAAGACCAAAGTTTTGAAAATTACTGTCAATTATAAAAGATAGTTGTTATTATACAAAAAAAAAAAAAGGTTTATCTTCAGCAACTTTTACCTGCATCCTTTTTCCTTCACCAGGTGAATTCACCAATCTTTAGTCAGATCACTAGCTACACTGCAACCAAAAAAATGGAACACATCATCTATACTAAGCCATCAACAATGCCTAGCATGAAATAGAGAGAAACAAAGATGAGTTTTTCTATTTTATGGAAAATGAAAACAGGCACTGATGGGCATGGATGGATTCCTTTGCCATAACTCAAAAAGTAAAAATTCCTAGTTCTTTTCCTTTTCTGTCTTGCATTGTTTTTAAGCATATGATATCCAGTTAGAGATTCATGAAACTTACACAAATGAGAACCCTCCTAGTGATTCCAAAAGTGAAATTATTAAATTTTTTTCTTTAAAATGATCAAATAAATTAGATAAAGAGAGGACTTAGGGAAGAACATTATTACACATAGTAAAGCATAGAGCTCTCAAGATGTTACATGCAAGAAAAAAAAAATCAGTGCCTAAAAGACAAGGAAAGCCAAAACTGAATCTGCAATGCTGAAATAAAAGAACACTATATATCATGTATGATGATCAAATTATAAAATCACAGCAGCCAAGGTTAGATTCGTCTCAAAATTCTTCACAAATAATAAACAACTCTCTCCACTCTCCTCTCCCTTTCCCTCCCCAACTACTACATTTGAAATTGACAATAGAATTTTGCTGCTCAATTCAGAAATTTTTGTTAACTATATACCACATGATGGCTACCTAACTCCTATAACCAGGAGGAATCAGATGGATAGCTGAAACAATTCAGCAAATATTAATCTATATAAAATAAAAGAGAACTCCAAAAAAGAATAGAGCGCATAGATAGTAGCGGAAAATTAAAGATTGCGGCGAATATAATGAAGTACCTCAAGAAATCTGATAATGTCAAGTCAAAGACCCCTCCAAACTTCAACAAATGACAACAACCAATTCAGGAAAAGAAGTGAACTAAACAGAATAACCATTTTATCCTGCAACCTTTATTGTCCCCAATTCATCAATTTTTGAGCTCTTATGCTGCAATGAAATTAAGATATTGAAAAGACAAGATCATCAAAGATTGGACATGGTGAACCAAAAAGAAATAGACAACAGAAATGTATAGAGAAGAGAACATAAACAGGAAAAACAGTTGACAACTCATCCCAAGACTTTAAGATTCTTCCTCTATTACCTTACTCTTTTTGTGTTTGTGCACATCATTAGCATCATCATCTCCGTCATGCTTCCTTTTCTGAAATATAGAGTAAAAAAAAGATTAATAAATAGAACTAAATTTATATTATTTTATACTTTAGATATATCTTTATTTTATATATATATATATATATATATATATATATATATATATATTATTTATATTTATATATTTTATTTATTCCATTTTTTTATCTATTATATATTAAATTTGTTATATTTAACTGTTTGATAAATAGAACTAAATTTCTGCAACATGTCCAAACAGTATGTGAAGCAAAACCCCTTAAAGTGCTAACATAAAAATGATAAAGATGTCCTTCATTGGATCCTAAATCACAAGCAATGGAATGTTAACAACAACATCAGCAAAACATAAATGAAAATTTCATGAAGCCAATTTATTGAATTAATTTACAATGTAAAGCATGAGAGGACTTTTAGAACACTTTTTATTTTTTTCCCTCAATGTGAACAATGTAGATGAAGAAAACTAAAATTTCTCAAACCTTTTCATGGTGTTTCTTTGAGTGATCAGCACTGGAATCACGATGCCCACTTTTATCTTTCTTTTTGTCCTTGTCTTTGTCTTTGCTTCGATCTTTATGACGATGCTTGTGCCTCTTATGCTCCTTGTCTTTATCCTTGTCCCTGTCTTTATGCTTTTTATGTTTCTTCTCCTTGTCTTTATACTCACTTTTTGATTTCCCTGCAATAGTTGGAATCCCTTTCTCCGCCTATTTGGGAAGAAAATCAGGAAAAGCAAATATATAAGGCTAAAAAAGAACACATCATAAAACTATTTTAAGAAAAAAATTAAGATAGCATGTCAATTAATTTCAGCAAGAATAGCAAATCAAGTATGATCAAAATCACAGAAAATTTCTTACAGCGGGCAAATCAATGGGAGATGTTTCTCTTAGTTGGAAAGCTTCCCTGAGAACTTCAAGGTCAAGAGGCTGGATACGAGCGCTTGTATCTCTGGAAGATGTGTTCTGAATAAGTTGATCCAATTGCATCCCATCTCCTTTTCTTATTTCAGTGTCTCCTACCACATTGTGAAGATAGTGTGTGTCTGCAATTGATACAGGAAGCGGCCTCTTGCAGAAAAACTCATAGTGGGGTAGTAATTTGAAATGATTTATAAGATCCACAGCACCTGTCAATTCCCTTGGTCCTAAGGGTTCAAATAACACGGTATGTCCTCAATGAGAAAGCATTGAATAAAAATAAAATAAACCCAGGAAAACTTAATCAAATTTTTTTTAACAAAAGGATGATTGCAGGTTAATTTTTTATATGGCTCAAAATCCTTAACAGATGCTTACAGCGTTTTATATCCACATTTCCAATTTCTTTCCATCCAATAAATTCAACCATCTACTAGGAAACCATCATATTTAAGCACTTATAAAAAAATAATAGCAAGATCCTGTAAACAAAACATGTTGCTTTGCCATGTGGGTCACACTAAAGATGTTGCATACCAAATTTTAAAAGTAGAGAGTAAAATACAGAGTTCGAGATTTAGCTTGCACAAAAATACATAATCAACACACATTGATATCAGTTTTTAGGTCAAGAGACAGACTTACAACAAATCTTTGTCCATGCCAATAATATAACACCCAAAAAAAAAAAAGAGTAAACACCACTGACAAAAAATAAAGCTGAAAATATTTTTCATCCTCTTGCTAGCCTTCAGCTGACCAACAAATCTATCATCTCAACAACCTAGCTATTAATATAATAGAAGTATAAGGTTAGTATTTTATATAATGTTATTAATAGTGACGCTATAGCGCGCTATACCCATACAGAAGTGGGCAACAGCACCCAGCCACTACTTCCGCTATGCAACGCCACTGTTTGCAGTAGCGGCCGTAGCGGAAGCAATAGCAGGTAGTGGCCGTTGCGGTGCAATCGCAGCACTACTGGGAAGGACATGTAATAATGGACTTTCAAGGGGTACAATCAACTTTTGCCCCTTTTAAGTTGCAAACCCTATGTGGTTGAACCTCTCTCAATTGTGACTCATTTACGGCTCACTCCCTCTTCCTCCTTATGACTGTTTGTGACTCCTCCTAGGGCCGCCTACTTGCGGTGGAAAAAAAATAACTTTTCCGATCCCTCCTTACACCGTAAGAAAGAATCTCGCGACCGTACCTCCTCTGTTTGGCAGCGACCCACTCATCAAATAAACATGTTTTTCATATTTCCAGCAAGTTATCTTCCCAGCCTCAATCCTTTCGTACTTTTATTTGGGTTTATCTACCACCAACCCCAACTAGTTTGGGATAAAGGTGTTGTTGATGTTGTATCTTCCCAGCAAGGCTGCAAGGCCACTGTTCAGCTCTCCATTCACTCTCTATCTGAGCAGAATTTCTCGCTCTCTGTTCAGCTCCAGTATTTCCAACAAGGCTACCAAACCACTCAAGTCATGGCAGAATCCAATGATCAGACCACTCCACCACAGAACAGCTCAGCTTCAGTATCTTCTATTGCTTCTTTTATGTTCCTTAAATCTTTGTTTGGAAGGAAAGTGAAAATAGAATTAAATATGAATTAATGTCTTTAATTCTGGATTATTTTTTATTTCTGAGCATTTATATATGTGTAGTATAATTTAGGGCATTTATATGGAAATAACTGTAACGGCTATACCTTATTCCCTATAGGGTTTTTGGGGTCAGCAACTACCCGCTGTTGATAACTATGAATTTTTATCATAACATAAACAATTATTCAGAGTCTCATTACATAAATACATCCTCTTTTTTCTCTTTTCATTCAATCCTGAAAATTTCAACACGTGCTTTAAAATTCTGCCAAAGGGACAAATGAAGATACTAAGGAAACTAAATGATTGAAAATTTAACTAAGTTTCCTCAATTGGATAACAAGAACAGTCAATGTCAGATAGGTAATCATGACTGGCATGTATATTAATACAATTAGTTAGACAAAAAACGACAATATATGTAAATATAACGTAAACAACAGAGAGCACTAAGGTGACAAACTTTTACCTCCTCCAAACTTTTTGCCTTCATGATCCATGAGTCAATTTTTCATGAGTTGTTGAACCATTACCAACTGCAATTTATAATACGACAAAAATGTATCTCGTCCATGAAAACTCAAAAAGAGGTATTGTAAGATATCAATATGAATGTAGGTTTTGCACACAAGCACAAAGATTTATAATTCTGTTTCATCTGAGATCAATAGTCAATTTTGCATACAAGGGCAGAGATTTTTTTGATAAAAAAGAAGAAATTGTATTAAGCAAAAGATAAGCAAAGTACACCAAGAGTGACGCAAAGGTATCGACAGAAGCATTTAAAATAAACACAAACAACAAAGGTGAAGATTGCAACAAAGCTGCCCAATCTTTCTGCAAATAAGGTGTCCCTTCCACGATGCAATTATGCATTTGTAACAGGAAGTGGCCTCTTGCAGAAAAACTCATAGTGAGGCAATAATTTGAAATGATTGTTAGCTGTTAGAGACTCACTCTTCTCTCTTATATCATGTCCAAAGTTAGTCTTCATAGCCATAAATGACCAACTAAACTGTCCATTTTATCACTCCATGCAGTCCTAAAACAATTACCCCTCTTAAGAAACCTTTTCTTTCTTTTTTTTAAATATCCACATTATATATCGCAACCCTAATTAGTTTGGGATAAAGGTGATGTTGATGTTGATCCACATTATATATCGCCTAAAGAATCAGATTCATGCATGGGACACATTTCCAAGGAAAACCATGAATCCTGCTAGTTACCACTTACCACCACAACTAAAAACTAAAGCTTTAGAATTTTCCAGAAGGCCATGATTGAATTGCCAAATGAGTAGCTGACATTTTTATTGGGGATAAATGCAGCCTGACTGGCACGTCCGGCCTTGTTCCAGTTGCGAGGACAAAGGCCTATGGGGTCAAGCTGCATCTGGGACAATACCGACCGGAGCAAACTGCAACTCGGACAAGGTCTGACCGGGAGGCTGCATTTATCCCTAATATTTATCAAAGATGATTTCCAGATATCCTTTCTTTATTTCATGGTTACAACAAACTTAAAAGTTTGATGATTTGAGTTGTAACTACTTTCATCTTGCATACACAGTACCTAAAATTCATGTTTTAGTTTCATCCAAATGGGTTGGGATATCCCTGGGAAACCAAAAAAAATGTTTTTTTTCTTCTATTTTCAATAGTAATGACAGGATTCAGCGTTTCCGTTGTTAAAAGAAAACTGGGGAGAAAACCAAGAAAGAAAACAGTGCAACTAACATACACCCATGTAAGCATTGAAATACTAATTTCAAATAGTTTCCAGCAAATTGCATGGTTTCATCAAACAATTGTTTCCTGATTCTCACACTGTCTCTGTTTTCAGCTCAAGGATTATTAAATATTCAAATGCAACGTTCAAAAAAAAAATTCAGCAGCTTTTTGAAAAGTGTTTTTGAGCAGAATAATCAAAGTCTCCACCACAGACACCCCAAAAGAAAGCACAAACCCTCTTCACGTGAATAGCTTCATGAATGGAATGTACTTACACACAAAAAAACATTCAACTCATGCAAGAATCGGAACCAGAGAAGAAAACTCACCTGGAGAGTGGTGAATTCTCGTTTATGAATCCCCTTCGAACTCGCATGAACCAAAAGCCACGCCAATCGAGAAACTTCTCAACCTTCAACCACCCAACAAACGTTTCCGCAAAAGCTGTGCAAAATTCAATCTTTTCAGCTAAAAAAGCCAAAATCCACAAAAGGGTACTCAAAATCTGCAAGAAAAAAGGAAGCTTTAGCAGCGAGAAAATTGCTAATAACCCGTGATAAGCGTTTGTGTGTACGAGAACGAAACCTGTAAAACTGCAGATCCAAACACCAGAAGAAGAAGAAGAAGATTTGGGTTCTCACAAAAGCATATAAAGGGAAGATCTTTGGGGTGTTTGGTTCAGTTCTCAAACAAACTCTCTCTCTCTTTTTTTTTTTTTCTTCGCTACTTGGGTTTGTGTTGTTTCTCTGTTTTCTCTTCTTTCAGTCTTGAGAAACAGCAAAAACCCAAAATTCCTTTTTGTTGCCGAGTTTTCCCGAAGCCAGTTGCCTCCTCTGATTTATATTTAGCCCTAAGCTTTTGTAAATTTTCAATTTTACCCCTTCTAAATGCTATTGCTATATGCTATTGGATCAAGTGTCCATTTAAGGTAATAGCCAACGGTGGACTATTTCAGACAATAGAAGGAATGAATGCACAAGATTCTCTGAATTTTTTGGGAGAAAGACAGAAAGAAAATTGGGGACACTCTATCCCCAAATTTGAAGTTAAGTATTAGAAACAGCCCACCTTGTTTACGGCAGTGATAATTTCAGACATGGTACATAACCAAATAAGATTGAATTATGATAAAGAAGTTGTGTAGTGTTTTACTAGTTGTAGTGAGGCAATCCAACTAAATCAAAATAAATATTGCACGTGCGTGTGTTTTGATTATCTTTTGTAAAGATACTTTAAAAAAAATAAAAAAAATTGCACCCTTGATTTTGTTGAAAACAAAAGTTAATTTTTATACAAGATGTTAGGTACTAAAGAACTGTATAGAATATGTGCTCAGGATATCATTATTGGATATTTGATTGGCTTATAGCCAATAATAATGACAAAAAAAATTTAATTATTGCATTTTAATTAAATAATTATGTATTTATTGCAATTTTGAAAATAATTACGAATCTATTGCACAATATGACGCCTCATTTAGGTGTCTCTCACATGAGGGAAGACGTCCCAGTGAGGCGTCTCTCACCTAAGGTTGACACGTGTCATTTTTTTTTCCAAAAAAAATAATAAATTAATTATAAAACTTCTTAAGGCCATAACTTTTGACTCGGGTATCCAATTCAGATAATTCTTTTTTGATTCCACATAACTTTTCGAGATCTACGCAATGACATCTCATTTGATATATTTTATTTCTCACAAACACAATTTTAATTTGCAAGAATGGTATTATAAGAGCGGTTAAACCAATAAGCCTCTGAGTTATGGGTTTGTGATTTAATATAAAAAATAAATAAAATTTTGATTTGTGATTTAATTTTTTTTATAATACTTTTTTAATTATAACAAAAATTTGGTTTGTGATTTAAATTAAAATTAAAAAGAAAAATTATTATTAATAAGGAAAACAATGATTAAGATTTGATTTGTAATTTAAACTAAAAAAATTTGAAAAATATGTAGAAATAAAGAAAATAAGTAAATAAATATTCTAAATCTCTAAAGAAGAAGGATATTATTTTTGAAATTAATGATTAATGCTATAAGCTTCTGGGTTATTATTTGTGGTCTGAAATTAATGATGGCTTATGAATGTTTTTCAAAAATAAAATTACCTAAATTAGGCGTGATTGCCTCTTGATTGAAACTCAATTTAGACGTGATTAGTGACGTGTCAGGTGTTGACACGTGTCACATTTTTAAACTCAGAAGCCTCTGAGTTCTGCGTTTGTGATTTAATATAAAAATAAATCAAAATTTGATGTGTGATTTAATTTAAAAAATAAATTTTTTATTTTTATTATAAAAAATTTGGTTTGTGATTTAAATTAAAAGTAATAATTATTATTATTAATAAAAATAAAATAAAGATTTTATTTGTGATTTAAACTCAAAAATCAATTTGAAAAATTTGTATTAATAAAGGAAATAATTAAATAAATATTATAAATCCCTAAGGAAGAAGGATTACCTAATTTAAATTTAAATTATGTTTGTGAGAATAAAATATATCAAATGAGATGTCATTGCGTAGATCTCGAAAAGTTATGTGGAATCAAAAAAAGAATTACCTGAATTGGATACCCGAGTCAAAAGTTATGGCCTTCTGAAATTTTATGATTAAATTATTTTTTTTTAGAAAAAAAAAATGACACGTGTCAACCTTAGGTGAGAGACGCCCCATTGGGGCGTCTTCCCTTAGGTGAGAGACGCCTAAATGAGGCGTCACATGTGACGCTAAAAAAGGCGTCACATTGTGCAATAAATCCGTAATTATTTCCAAAACTGCAATAAATGCGTAATTATTTAATTAAAATGCAATAATTAAATTTTGTTGCCAATAATAATCATTGCGCATTAATAATAAGAAGTATGGTCAAGAAGCGTATTGTGTGTGTTCTATGGTGACAATGATCACAATCGAGTTCCAGTAAAAAGATCCATACATGAGGACTTTAATCTCTTATTTATAAGGGTTACCTCTCTGGATCTAAGTTCTTGTGATCTCTCAATTGGTGTAGGACTCTGCCTCTAATTGATAGGGATAAAGATCTTATCCCTTGATTTTCACCAGATTCTATTGTTGGGATATAAATAAAATATATCATAATTTCTTATTGGATATACGGTTAAGATATGAATCTAGTCCATAACACAAGAGATCACAAGTAACTCTTTTGTTTTAGAAGAAGAGTACATTACATATATAACCTAGTATCCTTAGAATGCTTATATAAGCTAATACCTAATATCCTTTTTTTTATTATGCTTTAAAATTTGTGCTATCATATTTGGGTAAAAAACAATGGTTAACGTTGAGAAGCAACATTTTATTGATTCGCAGTATAAAATTATACTGAAACTATCTTAAATTTTTAATTATCTAGGTAAATATTTGTTCAACATCACTCTTATTATGGTTGCATACCGTAAAGGAGAGTGTATGGTAGGAAAATGTAGAATGAGAAAATTTTGTAAGAGGAGCTAAGAGATAGAAACCTCCCACAATAATGTCAATGGCTTTCGCATTTCCTTTAGAATAAATGAATTTAAGAGGTGATTGTGGATCTTAATCCTCATATGACTTTGTCATTGCATATAATAAAGAAGAGGTTCCATAGTAGCAAAAAACTACCAACATTTTATTTAGAATTGATTAAGTTTAGGAGGTGAATGTCAACCCTAATTCTTACCTGACTTCGCCATTGCATATAATAAAAGAGAGGTTCCATAGATGTCGGTAGCGAGAAACTATCGATATTTCATTTATAATTGACTAAGCTCAGGAGGTGATTGTCAACCCTAATCCTTGTCTGACCTCGCCATTGCATATAATAAAGGAGAGGTTTCATACATGTCGGTAGCAAGAAACTACCGACATTACATTTAGAATTGATGAAGTGTTGGGGGTGATTGTCAACCCTAATCCTCATTGGACTTCACCTTTGCATATAATAAATGAAAAGTTCCATAAATATCGGTAACGAGAAACTATTCGTAGCCAAAGAAATATTGTTTTTGCATCACATGTGAATTAAATAATGTTATAAAATAAGATGCTTTTAACAAATGAGAGTTTTGGTTAGGCTAATTTTTCAATCCTGAACATGATCTAATAATGGGATAACTTTTTAATATTATGAGTGTACCGAATTCAGTATACCTGTTTTCTAAATCTAGAAAATTTGACAATATGGCGGGTTTTTTTTTCAAAATTAGGATAATTTTTTCTTTTTTAAGTAAATGGGTGTACCAAAACTGATGTGATATTTAGATGATGATTATTTGTTTTGATTTTATAATTTGGTTGAATTGTTGATAACTTTATTTCCTCATAACGTTTTGGGTCTTTTGAGGAATGCTAGTAATAATAGTATAATAGAAGACGTAGAACAAAAGATGTGATGTGGTTGTAAGACATTCCCACACTCAAGTTATAGATGACATAAAAAAGTAGAGTGTATGAAAGGAATGGTCTTATAACTCCTTGTATAATGTTACAATTATGTAGCTCGGCCAAGTTAATTGGGAAAGGATTGCCCTAAACTATGTTGCACCAACACTTAAAAAATCTCCAATATTTATAATATGCGAAGGTTATATTTACAATTTTTTTGTTTATAAACTCTTACAAATTACACTATGTACTCCCAAAAGTACATTAGGTTACACTATGTACTTTCGAGAGTACATAGTGTAATTTGCAAAAATTTATAAAAAAAGTTTGTAAATAGATCTTTCCCCTTATAATATTTGAAATTTCATTACATATTATGAAAAAAATTAATCGATATTTTACCAAACTGATATAATAACAATTAAAAAAGGATACCGAATAAATCTCACTGGAGTATATAAGATATTTTCAATTGGAAAATATAATAGTAATTATTTACAACTTATGTTTTTTTACAAAATTAATGAGTATTATAAGTTTAGTTTTATTTTTTTTGTTATATTATAGAATATTAAATATAGGGGAAGGATCCGTTTATAATTTTTTTTTACAAATTACACTAAATATGATCGGTTATACACTCTTGATTGAAGTATGACCGGTCATACTTAGTGTAGTTTGTAAGAGTTTGTAAACAAAAAGTTTATAAATATAACATTCCCCTTAAATATAATACATACTACATAAATTAAAAATATTATTTAATATGTATTTCAAAAAAAAAATATTATTTAATATCAAAATGTGTCCTAATATGTTGAAATCTAATATTATTTAGAATTAACGTGTCGGAGTGTTGTGTCTTGTGTCTCGTGTCGGTGTCGGTGCAACATAAATTCTAGATGCGTCTAAATAATTAATAGAATGATATCCATGGTCATGTTTAGAATAAGTCTTATTATTCTGGGAATGAATCTCATGAGATATGTAATCTTTCAGGAGCGAAGAATAAGAAAATATTTTGAAAGTATCGATCGCATCATGCATGTTCATCTTTTGAGATGAGTGTCTAATTAAAATTAAATTTTAGTCCAAGAGAGAAAAAATATATAAATCAGAATAGTATAATATAGTTTATACAAAAAAAGAGAGAATATTATAATATAGTTAAGTTATAAAATTTTAAAGATAAATAACAAGAATCAAAGAATATTTTACAATTATTTTAGAAATTAACTACATAATATGAAATATATTGATTTAAGTAAAGTTAAATATATCATATTTCGAGTTAGATAAGATTATTGGATTATGATACGTTACGAGTAACCTACTTTCAAATTGTATTCTTAATACGTATATATTCACCAAGACTGGTCATGAGGAGAAGAAACA